ACTTGAGGGACATACCCTTTCCCCCCCACCCCCTCTTGTTACAGGGAAAGGCAACCCCCCACCTCAATCAATGCTGATCTGATCATGGAATGAAAGTCCTTCCTGATTCTAAATCTGGTGATTAATCTGATCCTGAGCAGAGGGTCAAAATGCTCTAACCAGGATACCCCAGGTTTTAGTCTCAGCAGCAGCACTGGCACACCCCAATCAAAATCTGCATCCTTGACTGCAACCAATGCCCTATATTTTTGAAGAAGAGGAGGTGAAAAAATTCCTGACATCTTTAGCAACAGGAAAGGAAAAATTCCTTCTTCATCCCATCTAGCAACCAGCAGAACCAGAATCATGGCAAAAATCAAACATCCTCCACTCTGCTTTGCAACCTAGAGGCAGCAAGCACAACTCCAAAAATGACACCCTCTAACTGGAAAATCAGGACTCCCCTATCTGTAATGCTAACCCCTCCATAAACTTATCTACTATCATTTAATCTTCTATTACTAAGCTGGTTGTGGAGATCTGTTTCACTCTGCTGCTAAACACTGTCCTCTCCAATATCCACCTGTTCTAGGCTACAGAGCTCTTCTCATGCTCTCCCAGTAAGTCATGTTGAAAAGCAATGCCTCCTGGACTTTCAACCATTGCTCTTGATAGCATAATGCAGGCATAGCTACTCCTAAATCACCCATGACCAAAGCTTATTCTGTTGCTTATTGAGAATTTCCAGTGAAGGATATATTCCACAACTTCCCTAGACAGTTTATTCCACTGCTTCACTATTTTAACTGCCAAGGAATTTTTTTTTCTGATATCCAACCTAAACCTACTTTGCTGCAAATGAAAGCCACTGCTGTATGTCTGACCCTCACTGCTGGTGTAGAAAAGGGCTTCTCCCTCTTCTTTATGACAGTCCTTCAGGTATTTCAAGATTGCTGTCATGTCTCCTCTTACTAGCCTTCTCCATAGGCCTGAATAGACCTGTTCCTTTCAACCTATCTTTATATGGCTTCCAAGCCCTTTATCATCTTTGTGCCCAACACTGCATACAATACTTTCAGTGAGGTCTAACCAGTACCTAGTCAAGAGGCACTATCACCTCTTGTGTCATATCTAATGTGTTTCTATTGATCAGCCCAGAACTGTATATTCATGCACCTGCATCACACTAGAACTCATATTGAGTCTGTGATCTACCATGTTTCCTAGATCCCTCTTCGTAGGGCTGCCACTCAGTCAGTTGTCAGCTCACCTTTTCAATCTGTCAAAATCCTTCTGACTTGCTCTCCTATCTTCACGTATGTTTGCAAACCTTTCCAGTTCTGTGTTGTCTGCAAATTTGCTCAGGAAGTTCAATATTTCCACTTCTAAATCATTAATAACTGTGTTGAACAGTACTGGGCCCAGGACAGATTTCACTAAAAATGTCCTGCCATTCCAGAACAGGTTTAAAATTACCCCTTGCTTGAAGCTATTAAGCCAGTTGTCTATATACTTTGTAGTAGTGTTGTCTAGCCCCCATTTGTCTAATCTGTTTATGAGAGGGCACATGAGATTTATCAAAAGAGTTGCGAAAGTCCAGATATACTTTACCCACTGCATTCCAGCATCCACCCAGTAGTACACCCTTACCAGGTTGTTCACAAGCAGGCTCCACTCACCTTCCACAGGTGCTCTCCAAATCTAGAAGTACTGATGAAGCTGTTCCTGGGTCATTCTTCCGTGTTAACTCCTAAGAATGCTGGAAACTAAGGTCTTGAGAGCAAACACAGAAGGACTTTCCTAAATGGCCCCACTGGTATAGTTCTGGGTTTAGAACTGTCCATAGGCAGCTGGTAGGGGCACATTAAGGAATGGTCCTGCTAGGACATACCATTGCCACAGTGTATACATGTTCTATCTTCCCTGATATAGACTGGAAAACAAATGTTACTAAGCATGGTAGGTCTAAGATGTTAGTACATATGATAGCTAGTAAATTTCTCCACCATATAGTCACTGAACCAATAAGTTCAATGTAAAGCACGGTGCCTACAGCAAATTTCATTCTCAAACACAGCAGAGTGAGAGATGCCCATATTTTACACACCAGCCTCTCAGTTAAAGCACACACCCCAGAAGTAGAACAACTTCAGCCTGGGTTATTGTAGTAACTGTGTATTTGACTGGTGCTGGGAGCTGTGTGTGCATGTTTTATTTTGGGGTTTTTTCCTGCAGCCTAGGTGTCCTCCAGAAAGCATAGGATATTTGATAAACAGTCACTACCTGAATGGGATGTGCTATCTCTGTGTTCCTCTTGGAAGGTCAAGACAACTTCATCTACACCAAGTGTAAGCTGCTGTTCACCTTGGAGGAAAAGATCAAGGGGTTGTCAGGTATCTGTGCCATGTATAATCAGGGAAAATGAAAACTTCTTGGATAGGACTCATGAGAAGCTGGTCTAAGAAATGCAAAAGAGCATGGAAGAAAGGTGGCAGCATATTACTACCAGAAGTAGGGTCCCCAGACTCCATGAGGCACAGATTGAAGTCAGTAATTGCTGTCAGACACTCAGCAGTGGAACAGCAGGGGGAAAGGAAGAGAAGAAGACAATGGCTGGCAAGAACCAGAAATGGACCCCATAGTCCAGAAGGCTTTCTGTGTTAGCTGCAACCAAGACTGGGGTTTTTGACTGGAGTGTGGTGATGCTCTTGTTGGTACTTAAAAAAACAAGGAATTTCCTCACTAGTGGTTTGTTCCTCCACTCAGGGTCAGTTTGATCACCACATTGGAAATAAGGAAGGAATTTTACCTCATGATCAGATTGGCATGAACTTGTGGGGGAGGTTGCCCTCTTCTGATACAGGAGGGGGAAAGATCCTCTTTGGGTTTTTTGAACATATTTTAATAAATTACTTTCTGTCCTTGTAGTAGCAGGATGTTAAAAAGTGCCATCACCTCCTGCTTTTCTCCTGGTGACTTGGGTGTTTTGTTTTTTTTAATGTTTTCAGGTAGTATTAAGAATGGGTAACACAAACACTTGTCTAAGACAGCTAAACTAAGAGATTATCCTGCCTTGAGCAGGCATTTGGACTAGATGGCTTCTTAAAGACATGTCCAGCTTTATTTTTCTATGATTCCATGAAGCTTAATACATTTATGAAAGCAGTAATTTGATATAGTGCCTGTCACAGTAGGGGAATGGACTCAGTTCCCCCCAAATGCTCTCTAGTCCTATGTTCCCAATTAGATTTTTAGCCGTTAATTCTTTATGAGTATGTTCCAAAATTTTCTGTTCCAATAGTTTACTGGAGAGAGATGTCAAACTAACTGGCATAAAGTTTTTAAAGGCTTTGGTATGGGTTACCTGTATAATGTCAGACACCTGTGGAATGTTTTGTTGTCATAAAATTATGGCATTTTTAAAGTAGGCTTAGGTGAAGGCTTCATGCTTTTTCAAACCTCCATGATTGCAACTTTCCACTAGAGGGCTGGCAAGCAGTGGAGTAGACAGGGACCAGGACTCTGTTCCTTCCCTGTGGTAGGAGAGAAGGGGGAAAGGTAGCCTGTAGCTGGAACAGAGAAACCAGCATAGGGTCTTCCCTCCCTCCACAGCCAGCAGGACCCCAGCCAGAGTAGTGTGTGGGAGGGGAGGCATCCTGAAAAGCTGGTTGAAGTGAGGCAAGTGGGAGGGAGGAATAAAGGGAAAGAAGTGAAAAAAGATGTTTGAAAAAATGAAAGGACTAAAATTATGCATGTGTCCCAGTACACTGGGACTGGGTCAAAGAGGGGAGTGGGGCTAGGAACAGCAGGGGTCATGCTGGCTGGGAGTGGGGAGCTGTCCTGGCTCTGGTGGCAAGACCCTGGAGCTGGGAAAGCATGGCTCTAGGATCCCAGCTTCTCTCTTGAGCAGCTTCTCTGGGGCTCTGTGCTCAGGCTGAAATTGAGGCGGCCACTCTGCACTTAGAGCAGAGTCAGCAGCTCAACTGGAGCACAAAACTCCAGAAAAACAGCCTACCCAGGGCTCTGTGCTCTGGCTGAAATTGATGCAGCAACTCCCCACTTAAAGCAGCTCAGCTGGGGCTGTGCCAAAGCACAGAGCCACACAGCAGCAGCAGCCTCCCAGGGCCTCTGTGTTCAGGCTGATATTGAGATTCCTGCAGCAAGACCACGTGGCTGGGGGAAACAACATACAATCTTTGCATTCTCTTATGCTTGAGTATGGGCACATGTGCCCAAAAGCTTGCAAACAAAGATTTATTTTTTTTTGCAACTGTCCAGTTGGTCTAATAAAATATATCACCTCTAGCACACTGACTCCTTCTGAAAGTCAATGAATTTTAGAATGACTATTAAGTGCTTTTTTCTGTTTTATTCAATTATATTTTGTAGTGTAAAAAATGATCAAAGCAGGAAA